GGGGGGTTGGGGTCGGGGGGTGGGGGCTCTTCACATGTGTCTCTTCATGTGCAGGGCCAGGTGGTCAGACCTGGAGAAGGCGCGTTCACACAGGTGACACTGGAAAGGCCTGTGTCCGGTGTGTTTTCGGAAATGACGGGTCAATTCGTCGGAGCGGGCGAATTTCCAGCCGCAACCTTCCCAGCTGCAGTGGTATGGTTTCTCACCTGTGAACACAAACAGGAGGTCAAAGGTCTGTGCTGCAGACAAATGGGCAAACGAGTGTTGCTCTGAACACACCAAACACGAGCACTGTGACTGAGGCCAGACTTACCGGTGTGAGTCCGCAGATGTGCCTTCAGGTGGGAGCTCTTGGTGTAGGTTTTGCTGCAGCCGGCGAAGCTGCAGGTGTGCGTCGCCGTGCGCTTCCGCGGCCATGTGCGCCGCCCTCTCTTTGGTTTGGCCTCCATCAGGTCCAGAGGTGATGAGGGCGGCGTGAGCATCACCCTCTGTGCGCCCGGCTGCAGGCTCAGACCTTCTTCGTACATGTAGGCGGTGTGTGGCGGTGCGTGAAAGGACATCTGCAGCTGTGGGACCTGGTTGTGGTGTGGGAACGCCGCCTGTGTGTGAAACTTGTGTGAAAAGTTCATGGGCTGGCACAGCTGCGCCTGGCAGTCCGAGGATCCTTGCTCGTCGGGGCTGAGCGGCGGCGTCATGTTGCTGGCTGCCCGCGGGGAGATGGCCACCCGGGGCTGGTCGAAGGACATCATGCACGAAACGTTTCCTTCTTGCTTGATTTTGCTGCAGCTCTGTGGCACCATGCCCACCACGGGGCCGTAACTGTCCATGGATGGCTCTACTTTAATGTTTTCCGCGCGGATAAAGGGCGTGGAGTTGACGTAAAATCTCCCCTGGACGCTGGGATTGCGCGCTGCGCCGTACGCGTTGGTGCCTTCCGAGCGCAGGAGCTCGGCCATGAGGCTGGCGCCGTAAGGGGGCGGCGGGGAGCGGTGGTCGTCTCCCGGGTAGGATGACACCGAGTTTCCCCCGGTGTACATGTTCTCTACTGTGCCCACGTATTCCGCACCGCTGTCTGAGCCAGTCGTGTTGGCGAGAATAAAATCCAGATCCAAAAAATTACTCAGATCCTCGTCGTCCTTTTTGCTGTGATTGTCCAGATTTTGTACCATTTCAAGCATGGAGCAGCTGTTGGAGACCAGTTTGTCCACCTCTCTCCACCTCTGCAGGAAAGACAGGGGAAAAAAACTGTTAGAATTCTGATACAGTGCGATTTATTATATTAGTTTTTTACAATTTCTATAACACAAAAATAATGCAATGAATCACTACTGAGAATTATTTCCCATCAGATGAAATAATGTCTTGATAAAAACACATAAAAACTCACGTTTTCCCAGGGTTTTTCTCTTTGGTTTGAGAACGTCGAAAACGACGGCAGCATCACTCCAGATAAGGCCATCGTTTGGTTCAAAATGAATTATAACAACAACAATAATAATAATAACAATAATAACACAGTTATTGTTGGTGTTGCGCGTTGAGCGGCAGCTGCGCGTCAGTCACTGTCTCCTCTCCACAGCTGCGCTCCACAGACATGAACAAAGTTAACCAGTGGAAGGAGGGTCCCCGACTTATAAGTGCAGCGGCAGCAGCACGCCTGACCAATTGTGTGAGCTCAGGAAACAACGTAAAATCTGGTAAATTTAGCTCTTTATAAAGCGGCTCCTGCAGGCGGCCGGGTTCAGTGTTCGCCTTGTGAGTGACTGCTCGCACTACGGGAGCCTATAAAGCGCCGGGCCACCCCCGCACACGCTGACGCACGCACTTCTCAGACCTGCCCACCTGAGCCGGGCCTGGAAAAATCATACGAGCACATTACAAACAAACGGAGGAATATAGCAACCATAGATTCTTACGTAATGCGCTGAAAAGAACAAGCCTGGTGACAGATGAGGAGTGAAGGCCAAACCGCAGAATAACTTCAAAATAACGTCTGTCAGCGCTGCACTCAATCATCCCAGCGCACAGAGGAGAGATAAGACGGGGTTTGATTATCTGCAATAATAATAATAATAATAAAAATATCATTACATTCACCCAAGAGCAGAGAACTTTAAAATAAAGTAAATGATCATCGGTGACGTGGGCTGGGCGTCATGACTAATAAGGCTGCGGCAGAGTCGGAGAGTTATACCTTCAAAGTTTCTTTTTCAGATCCTACACACACGTACTCACACAGTTCTAAATATGCTGTTTCAATTCCACAATTCATTTACATTCAGTACAACTGAAAGTACACAGTGGTGTAGAAAAGAGGATGTGAATGGGAATATATAGTTGTTTCATTTGATGCTTTACATTTTATTATTATTATTATTATTATTATTTTATAATAACCAAAGAATCCTCTCCAAGATCTGCGTCATAATAATATTTTATCACTTGGAATGTATTAATTTGAAAGAAACTTAAAGAAACCTCTGCGGTGCACTTGACTATCTGACATCCCCTCACTCATTAGCGCCCCTCTGCCATCTGCGGTGCGCCACGGTACTGCGTTCCTTCCTTCGTGAACAGCGAGATTAAGTGTCATTAGACAGATCTGAGTCAGACAGCAAAAGCTTTGGGTGTATAATAAAATTGCCTGCAAACAGTCAGCAACATAAAAAAAAGCAAAATGATTTGAAATCAAGAAGAAAACGAATGTGTATTTATTCTTTAAAGTTATATGTTTTATTGACTCCTTGTGGCCAGTTGTCGTAGCGCATTTTCCTCTAACAAAAGAACCCAAACCTATACAGTATTGTTGCATTAAAAAAAACCCGCTCTCGTTAATCTGTCCCTGGGACTGTTTTCACATGAATGTAGACCGAGGGCCACGGGGCCACAGACTGACAGACACTCTTGACTGTTTGACTGCGTTTCGCTCTCGGCTCATTATCATGAATGGAGGACGGTCTTGTTCTGCCGCAGCAGGCTTGTCCAAACAGGCGCCAGGGTCGTCGTCCGCCGACACTTCAATGCTCTAACTAGTCCTGATGTAAACATCATTTAAGTTTACCTTCTATTCAGGTGTAAATGACGGCACATGAGTAGGAGGAGGAGAGGTGGGAGGGAGGAGGGGGGGGGGGGGGGGAAGGAGGAAAGGAAGGAACAGGGTCCACGGTTCATCCCAAAACCTAAAACCTGATTTAACTGTTTCACATTTTGGTTCTGCTGATGGTTCTGACACTGGTTTGTTGTTATTATTATAACTGTAAATACGAAATGAACTACCTAGTCACTTTGCTTTATTTAATTCACTATTTCTATCAAATAGTTACTGTGCATTTAATACTTTATACTTAGTTTAATACAGTCTCAGTAACAGAGAAACACGTTTTATTTTAGCTAAACATCTGACAATGAAGCAGATGTAGACTTTGAAACACACTTCTTTTTTTAACTGAATACAGGGCACACATTTATAATTGTTTGTGTAGAAAGCAACACATTGTGTTCAGCTGTTGTTTAGAGTCTCATCAGTGAGTAACACAAATATGTAAATAATTCCTCGGTACGTAATGTAATTGTCTCAATCAAATTATAAAGTACAGAATGACGCGGCTGTAATTGCACCAGAGTACAGCATGTGAGTGTGTTCCCATTATCACTAATACTACTGCAGCGTGCAGTACATACCTGGAAATCATCCCTTTACCTGTAACTTCAGATACACACACACACACACACACACACACACACACACACCCCTTCATTATGCAGCAGGTGCAGAGCAATAGCCATAAAGGAACGCTCTGTGCCAGGGATCCTCACTTTCTCACAGCACACGCAGCAATGAAGCAAAATTAAAAAAAACAAACTTAAAACATAACTGAATGAATGAAATGAAATAGTTGTAACTAGTTATAAATATATAATTATGACCTTCAACGACTCAGTGTACAGTTCATCTCCATAAACTTTTATTTCACCTGTCATTATCTTATCAAGTCATTTGGCCACAAACACATAGACAGACAGATTAGAGCAGGCTCGACCAGAGCCTGTTTTTAATCCAGCTCTGATCAACAAACAACAAACAGCCACGTTCACGTTCACGTTCACGTTGACGTTGACATCACAGATGTGGAGCCTCTCAGTAAGCTGCCCCGTCCACCATCAGCAGTCAACTGTTCAGATGCAGCTGTGAGGTTTCCACATCCTGATCTCTGGTCTGCACTGTGTGTTCAGTGGAAAGTGCGTCACGCGGCAGACGTCCAGTAAGGCCCGAGAGGAAGTGTGTGTTTAGTGGCAGCCGGCCTGATGTCTGAACCCCTGACCTCTCACGGCGACCTCTGCTCTGTGCAGCAGCAGTTGTGCCGTGCTCTCCTATCATTTCGACTCTGCTGCCTACTCAGCTGAATCATTCCCCTCAACTCAGCCCTGCTCTCAGATTAATTACATGTGTTTACATGATCACATTATTACTTTACTTTTGTAAACAGACGTTCATCGTTTGTGTGTGTATGACTTACTCTCACCATTGATCCTCAGTACAGGATACAGAGGTGGGATTGAGGGGGGGGGGGGGGGGGGGGGTCTGCTGCTCCTGTGTTAATTAATGTTGTCCTGTTCACCTGTGTTAATTAGTGTTAACTGGTTTCACCTGGTACCCTAACCTCTGCCACTCACTTTGTCTTTGTTAGGCCGTGTCTGTGATTATGGTGATGGTCCTGTCGACTCCTTCTTCCTGCCTGGCCCGTGTTTCTTCGAGTTAAGACTGGATTTCCGTCCTGAACGTGAGTTTGAAAATCTTAACTAAGTGTCTGCACCTTATCCTCGTCCTGGGTCCTTCCTGCTGCCCTGTTCTGTCCCTCTGCACCTGACAGTCCGTCTGTCACGTCAGGAGGTAGAATTTAATATAAAAACCTTCACAAAATCATGTTTATTCCGTGCGTCATTGGCTGTGGTAGCAAACAAAAGTGATTCTTATCAGCGGGATCAGGACGATGATGCAATTTTTCCACTTTAACTGGAACAAAAAAGATAAGTCCTCCACCAGATATTACAGTTTTGAACAAATACGACTATTTGTACTCTTAGTTAACCTTAGTGTCTGTTTTAGAACGATTCATTTGAGAATGGTTTCAGTACAGCCAGGGAAACTGTAATTAACACCAAGGTTTTCATTAAAACATAATAACTTTTGTGATCACTATAATGATATGAATTATTAATGTGTTTTGTCTTTAATTGTTTTATATGAATAACGTGGCAACCGCAGATATTACTGTACGCCATAAAGGCACGACTATTTAAAATATTTAAAATATATTATTTTATATATATATATATTATTTTAAATATTTATATATAAGTGCCGTATGTATCAGTATACAGACGCTGATCAACTCTTACCTGAATCTAACTGGTATTTACTAATCCTGACCCAAACTTGCACCACAGAGGAAGTTTCCCACAGCTGCTGTGTTCAGCTCTCTCACTTAAGCTTTATGATGCCACCAAACTGGTCAAACAGGAAAACATTAGAAGAACATTCTATACCTGGAGGATTCCGATGAAAGCCAGCGCTGACTAATTTAAATTCACTTTGAATTAACTGCTCAAGGTGGTTCAGAGCGTGTACCTGACTGTGCTGGTGTTTTCCTAGAAGCAGTTGAATATAAGAAACAGGTTTGTGTTTTATCCAGGGCTGTCACCTCCTGTGGAGAAACGCCACAGACAATGGGCAGGGCACTGTGACAGCAGCAGCAGCAGCAGCAGCAGCAGCAGCAGCTCACGTATTTAAAAGAAAAAGAAAGTAAAAGAGAGCTGTTATAGATGACTGTAGTTGAGGGAATTCTATAGGAGCTGGTATGTGAAATGACCTTTAATCCCTAGTGAACTCAATATAGAACTTTCCATGCCGAAGAGGAACAAGTAAAAGTGTTGTATCACCGTTCAGTAAGCAACATTTCGGTTGAAGCCTCTGAATATGAATTTCCCTGAATTGCACGTTGTCACAACAGCTTGTCATTGGGAAATGTTTCATTTCGCAATCTACTGTAAAAGACCAGTTCTGTCTGTGCCACCGGCTCACACCGCAATCTGTGCAGCTAGCTTGTCTAAGAGCAGCTGTCAGGACTCTCAAATGATTTAGGAATCAATCACAGCAGCAAGTAGTTGTGAATTATTCTGGAATTATTGTGATGAGTCGATATTACTCAACTAGTCCAAATATGACGAGACACTTTTTCTTTTCTCTGTATATTGTTGAAACTGAAAGACAAATTACAGCAAGTAGATCTAATGACTAAAGCCAATAATTGTAACGAAAAATATGCTAAAGTACAACTGCTGAACAGAGTTTGTAGATGTTAGTTGTTACTGGGCGTCTGGTCTTGTGAAGAAGTTGTCCTCAACAATGTTAATCAGTCTACATCCATTTGACATTTGTTTTGGTCAATCATCAGCCGTAGATTAATTAATACGACATGTATATTTGTACATTTTAAAGCAGAGTTCACACTAGTGTAAAGCAACAACACTGTCTCCTCCACAGAGGAGGCCGCATGAGCTTGGAATAATTGTAAACACTGCACTTGTCTGTTTGTGTTGGCAGATCAGGGCGAACTTTCCCAACCTCATGTCATCTTTTTTTAATTTGTGCCCAGACCAATTTTAGGTTTAGTAAACAGAACTTTCTAGCGTAATGGCTGATGTGCGTATGTGTCACGTTCTCCATGATGAAACTCGACTGCAATCTCTGATGGTTAACGGGGCGT